AAGCGGCAGCCATGTTCATGCAAATGCAGCGGGGAAAATTTAAATCCCCGCTGCATTTGCAATTCCGACTTGTCTCATCTGCATCCCTTTTCCGGAAAAGGGGTGCAGTGTAGACACAGCCACAGCGTCTTGGCACTTGATAAGTCTGGTATCTTGTGTCACGGGCACCCCTGTTGGGCCCAAAATGTGACCCACGCTCAGCTTTTCCTGCATAGAAGCATTTTTACATTAAGAAACATTGAAATCCTGTCTCTCTCGTGTGTATCGCCAGTGGCCCTGACACATAGGAAATATTCCCTGATGGAGAGCACTGGTCCCAAACTGTTCAGGGTTACACCCTCCCTTACACCTGTCAATACACCCTCAAACCATCCTGCAGAGCCACAGCTCTCCAGAGGGAGGGCGAAAAGGGACGAGGGTAACAGGATTACAACTGGGGGTGGGGGTGGGTCTGGGGCCAGGATCAGCGCCACAGCCAGAGGCTAAGGCTGAGACTGACACCAGAGCTGGGTGCAGAGTGGGAGATGGGGATGGGTGCATGGTCAGTCAGAGGTCGTGGCTGGGGAGGAAGCTGGAGCAGAGCTGGGTATGGCAATGGTCTGTCCTTGCCTCTGGGGGCTGGCCTGGGCCCCACTGTGCCCCTTGTATGTTCCACCACAGACCAAAGACCATTTAGGAGGCAATGCCCCACAATTTCTGCACATTATCTTCTCAGTGCATTTCCCATCCCTGACATTCACACACACATACACCCAACCCACACTTCCTGCCATTACTCACAATCAGCAGGAGATGCAGCTGCTAGCAGTATCTCAATGCCAGTATCCATGGCATTGATGGATATGAGCAGAACGCCAGCAGGGGGGGCTTTGAAACAAGCCAACAGTATTAGCAATAAGGCAAGCAGTGAGAGATTTAGCTCTCACATACATGAGACTAAGTCAAGTCAAGCCAAGATTTCAGGCAACAGAAATGGGCCTGCTGAGAGAGCAGAAACTAGTCTAGTCAGTACAGTAGGGTGCCACTAATAATCTTACTGCCAGGAAAGGAGAAAGACTAGAGGGACTGGAGTGGTTAGGACAAGCAATTGTGAGTCAGGCCTGACTTTGCCACTGACTGCTGGTGTGGCCTTAGGTAAGTCATTATCCTCTCTGAGCCTCAGTTCTTTCCTTAAGGTAAAAAGAGAAACCTAGAGGAGCCATGTCAAAAACCTATTCCACTGGTAGTGATACCAATAATTCACTTATAGACTGGGGTGCAAGAGAACCAGCAAAAAAGGGGCAATTTGCATGGCTCCTGAGCAAACCACACTGATCAGCTTCCATTCTGTAGTGTCCTGGCTACTCTTTGAGCCCTTGTATACTGCATCAAGCACATCCCCTGCTGTCTGATCCCTTGCTTAGACGCTAGCACCACATGTATTCTCTGATCCATTGGAGACTGTGTCAAATACATTCCTGCATACATCTAGGGCAGATCCTCGGTGGGTGTGAAATGGCATTGCTCTATTGACTTCATGGTCCTGTGTCAGTTACACCATCTGTAGATCTGTTCCCTAAAGTTTTGTCAGCTTGCTGGTTCAGTGCTTCTGGGAGCCAGGGGATTATTTTTCCCAAGCCCAGAAATGAAGGTGACTGTTCCTCTCTCTACCCCATTCCAAGAGGAAGTCCCTGAATAAATAATTCCAAGGAGAAATCTGAGTGAGTTCCATGTATATTCCATTGCCTCTTCCCAAAGTCTGTGGCCCTACCCCACCCCTCCATCACAGGCCTTTTCTCAGGGATGCCAGCTCTGTGTTTGCCTGACCCTCGAGCAGGCTATTTGCCTGCTTGAGTGGTTCCTTTTCATTCTGGACTCCATCTGTTGCTATTTACTAGTTTCCAAACCAGATGACACTCATCTTTCACCTGGTGAGCTGCATAACAGTGGTGTCATTGGAGTTGGGGATGGAGGAAAGTGTGCATTTCCCTCTGAGGGCTAGCAAGGCAGCATGGTTTTGCATCAGCTTTACTCATGGCCACTGGCCCAATAGCAGAGCAGGCAGTACACAGGGTTTGTACAGATTTATCCACCCTCCCAAGTGACCCAGACATTAGGAAAGGGGAGGAACTTGTAATCAGCAGCAGGCCTGCCAACCCTCTTGACTGCGCTAAGGAATAAAATAACTTTCCTCTTTCCTTGAGGAAACTCCCACCCAGGTCAGCTCAGATGCCCTGCAGTCTTCTCTTCCTGCCAAAGCACAACATGTGCAGTACACATTGTAGGGAACAGCACTGCGCTAGCCCAGAGGAATGGACAAGCTCTTACCTGGTTCTGATGACTCTGTGATCCTTGTTCACCCTACTGAGAAAAAGCTTTCCTGCAATAAACAAAAAATTCACATTGCTATACCGAGCAGAAATATTCTTTGCATGCGCAAAAGCCCTCCCGTGCCTCTGTCCTCTGGG